ATTTATCATTCTGAATTTATCTCTAATTTTGATCTTTTTTATACCAAAAATCACACACACTTATACACAGATAAAAATGGACATGCATCCACTTACAAGCACGTCTACAAACACTCCAAAACTTCTGATAAAAGCCTTTAGGAGTTGTTCTATTTTTTTATTTTTATTCCTTGTACTTTCCTCCTTGTGTAATTTGTCTGCTTTTATCTCAGCTGAGGGATTGAGCTGGCTTTCGGGTGCATGTTTAGATAGCCCGGACATCCATTATCAGTCCGAGGCAAACCCGATTTAGAACCTCAGTAAAAGAATTACTCAGGAGGAGAGGAGAGCGCCGTGATTCTGTCACCTTCTCTTCCACCCTCGGTCCCAATCGCTGCTCTTTAATTGGGCTGCTAATCAATTAAGGCCTGTGTGCAAAAAGATCGTCTCAGCCAAGTGCATAAATGAGGCTGACGGTTGGAGCTGTGAGACACACAGAGGTGACTAAACAGAACACATTTTATGTCAGTGTCTCATATCCTGCTCATCATAATCTATGCTCAACAAACATTTACGATCTTACCCCACATGTGCAGACGGTGCTTCTTTCTAAAGGACTGCAGCTGTTTATCTTAAACTTGTTTTCACTGAAACCCCAGAGGGTTATTAATTTAGACCCTGGTTAATAAGCTCAAGATCACCACTGGGTGTGTTCTGTGCTTACATTTTCAAGTGGAAAATGAAGAGTGAAAAGAGTCTATGACTTAGGTTAGTAGTGGAGACAGAGTCTCGCAGTGGTGATCGGGGTTGGAGCCATGGTATCGAGATCCCGTCCATATGTCTGGCCAACACAATCACGAATAGGGTTTAGCTGTCAATCATGACGTGAAACCTCTTTATAGCTTCAAATAACAAATTTAAACCAAACTTATCCAAAAAATTAACACTTGAACATACATGAGCGCGATAAGGAGGAGGCTGTATGACCGATACTGCAGTCAGCCACCAGGGGGTGATTGAGATGTTTTGGCTTCACTATCGGGGAGCTGTCATGTTGTCCATCCTTTATATATTGATGGTTAAAATCTGCTCTAAGTGGGTTTTTCGTCCACTTGGGAGAATGGTGAGAGTGAACCAAAGCAGTAAAGTTTTACTGTAAAACCGAGGACGACCCTGCGTTGTTTTCCTGGTGCCATGCCATTGTTCTTACGACAATTATTCTAGTCGGAAAAAGCCCATTTCTCTGACATCCTGTCATTATTCATAAAAGTGTCATTCCAAAGGCCCGTTATTCCAAAATTACACACTCTGGTATCAACTTACTAACTTAACTGAAAGTACTTACTTACTTCATGATCTTTTATTATCTCAATGTTAACCACATATTTATTATTGGTACCATAGCGACCACATGACTTCATCCTTTCCCGCACCTCCAAATACACTAAGATATTATGGGCAAACATGCAGATTTTTGGAAAAACAGGCCATCTGAAACAGTGGGCGTTTGTTTTCGGAATAACGGGACAAATGGGTTTTCAGTCTAATTGGACATTTTTTTGGGGGGGGGGGGTTCAGGAGAATGGGCTGTCCCTGTTTGGTGTAGCTCCTGCTTTGACACCCCCACTGTGTCAGTGAATTGGCTGAACATTGCATACTTTTTCACCACTAGAGATTATTTTGTAAACCCTGGGCTAACAGGGTCCAATGGCAGGGATACAAATAAGTACATTTTAAATATTACTGCAATTAGGAACTGAAACTGTAAAAAAAAAAAAAAATTCATTGTACTCAGTTCATTGTAATTCTTTGTGTTCCTGCTTCCTTGGACTGCTGTTAATATGACCAAGCAGCATGTGAGCTTAGACACAGTGGACTTAATTTCACACAACCACCAGATGGGCCTTTGAGGATTCTTCCATCAGTAAACAGGCTCTCGGTTTGGTGTTGTCGGTTCTCTCCTTGCGGCCGCAAACGTCCTGCAGCTGTTTTGTCGCCGCTCGCTTGATCATTAGGATCTGGACTTAGTGTTTGACTTTCACACTTCAGCCACAGCAGGACATTTAAGGAGGTCTGTGACGTGTAGGGACTGACAATGCCATGAAGAATGAGCGGCCATTTCCACAGTTGTTAAGACCGTTTAATAACTTAATTCTTGCAAATCAAGCGGAGAGAGGCCGAGCTCCAGTGGCTGTGCCTGGCAGTGTGCCAGACTCAGCTACAGTGGTCCACCTCCTGCTTTATTCTATGAAAAGATTAGAGGGCTGCAGAACTTATTGACTCAGATTTCTCCTCCAGGTATAGAGTAATTAATGTAATTAGGCCCTCTATCTCCGCTCAGGCCTCTTATCAAAGCTGTTTCCTTATCGCTTCTAGAAATTTAATTAGAAAAATCTTTGCAATTAATGATTTTGCAAAATTAAAGTGAACTTCAACCGGTTGATTCATTACTGTTGGACAGCTGGACAGAGGTGGATAACATGTATGACCATATACCATGTAAGTATTGTACTTAAAACTCCACTAATCAATATCTTTTTATAGTAACAATGAATCAGATAACATTTGTAGTGTTGAACCTATCGATAATGATTAACTCTGCAGCTCGACAGGGATGTTTATTTCGGCTCTGTGTTTTGGTTTTGTGGCACATTTCCTGTCAGTCTCTGTTTTTTCAACAAGCTCTCATTTAGCAAGAGAAATATATTTTTTTCAATTTGTTGGAGACCAAATCAGAGCTACAGTGAGAGTGTCTATTGGACGTTCATTAGACAGACACAAACATGACTCTAAATTAATAATAATGTAGCTCTGTGTCTGATGGATTTTTAAATTGGCAACTGTTTCTTAACACATCAGACATACAGGTAATAATATGTGTCTGTCGGCTTGTTGTGGAGTTCTTCTGCCCTCTGGTGGCCAAAAATAAATATAGATAAATGCAGCTTTAAGAAAAGGATTAAGGCGTGATCATCTTGTTTTACTAGAGGTGTTTGTAGGCCCAAACCTTTGACAGATCCAAAAGGGACTCAGTCATTTATAAGTTACTTTTGCAAAGGGACCCAACAATAAAACTAGATCTTGATCCAAACAGACCCAGAAAGACATATGACATATTTAAGAGTAGGCTTAAGACGTTCCTCTTTGATAAAGCTTATAGTTAGGGCTGGATCAGGTGAGTCCTGAACCATCTCTTAGTTATGCTGCTATAGGCCTAGGACTTCTGGGGGATTCCCATGGTGCACTGCAGGGCCTCCTTCTCTTCCTCGTCTCTCGTCTTTTCTGCACTATTCATGTCCCATTAATCGCATGTTTGACTAACTTCAGGCTTCTTCCCCGCGAGTTCTTGTGCTTTATCGTCTGCAGGTTCTCATGGCGTCCTGGTGGAGGCCCTCCTGCGCATGGAAGAATCGGACGCGGCATTTTCCCAAGTCTCGTCCACGACCTTCTTCAAATAACTTAATTTCTTCTCGCAAAATCAACGGTCGAGAGACGGGCCGATAGCGTCCAGTGGTGCTTGCTACGGCAAGCTTATTGTATAGGCGCCAATTCATAACAGAAGTGCCAATTCAATTCATAACAGAAGTTATCTCAGGGCGACCACTTTTCAAATTAGAGCAGGTCTAGACCGAAATCTTATTAACATTTACAGAGACCCAACAGTACCACCATGAGCAGACTTGGGGCGACGGGCAAGGAAAAACTGCCTGTTGTAACGGGCAGAAACCTCGGAGGCAGACCCTTCGGCTCTAGGGTGGTGGTCATCTGCCCTTGACCAAAGGTTTGGTGTGGAAGAAAGGAAGAGAGAGAGAGAGAACAGAGGAGAGACAGGGAGAGACAAAACAGGCATGTAAGCAAACAGACAGAGCAACAACTACATTAACATAGGATGATCGGATTGACGATCATGAAAGAAGCCCAGGGGGGGGTGGAGCGACGGTGGACAGCAGCAACGACAGGGGACAGCGAGCAGCGACAAACGAGCCAAACGCGGCGCACCGAGACAACAATAGTCAACAACAACTATTATGAGCATAACGATGAAGGTAGTCGGAGTCGCGCATATTAGCAATGGCAGGTGATCAGTCAAGTGGTGTCAGGCGTGAGTGGCAATACCATTGGTAGGAATACTGGCTTTCCGAGTTGCCAGGAACCTAGATGAGAATACCTGCAAGGACGGATTAAAGCACATAGGAACTCC